CTGCTTAAAATTGGCATCGGTATTAGTGAGTGTTTTAGTACTCCAGTTTGGTCTCTATCTCGGTCTTGTCTTGGTCTTGACGTCATTTTAACTCGGCCATGTTTGTTTTTTTTTCCTTATCACTGTTGAGTTTCAACAAAACCACCAACACTTTGTCAGGCTATATGACACCTACATAAGCTTGTCATGACAACAGACATAACTCTATATAAATGTTTATCGATGCTTATTCCAATAGGCCTGATCTGTCATAAAGGCTACTTTAACTAACTTTGAACAAAATTGGCGAATGTAACGTAATGTAATGTAATGTATTTATAGCAAAGAGCACATTTATAAACATTTATGTAATTATGTCAGCTGTCATGACAGGCTTATGTAGATGTCATGTAGCCTTATGAACAGTACCCTACAGTAAAGTGTTTTACCGTAAAGTCTTTTAACAGATTAAACAGTTCTTTCTTTACATGTTTAAGAAAGATCTGTTTGATGCTGGTTGAGGATGTACTTGGTCCTTTTCAGGGTGACTTAACTGGGTATTATTTGTTTGTTGATGTTCTATTCCACAGTTCAAACATTTTCTCAAGGCCCATCAGACTGCTATTATTACTGTGTTTACATTTAATAATAAAAATGGATGTGTTTTGTTTATATTCAGTTGACTGTAAGTGGTGATTCCAATAACTTTTAATATGTTTTAGAGAAGAAGGGACAGAGAATAACCTCGCCATCATTTGGTTACAATGCTGTAAGACTATAATATAAGGGTAATTAATAATGTTTTAGGCTATATATGTTATATTGTATAAAGTACATGATACAATATTCTATTATTTATTCATATATATCATGTATAATGAAGAAAAAGGAATGTGCAATGAAAAACAAACAAATATCTTTCCCTTGCTTCTGTTATTTTTATATTCAGAAAACAATCCTAATCTGGTCTCGGCCTTGACTCAGATTCAGCTGCTACAAATGATTGATCTTGACTCAGACTGAATGTGTCCAGGTCTCAGTCTTGACTCAGTTTCACCTCTAGCGGTGTTGACTAGTTCACTTATAATAGTTACAAAATATTGATAAAGGTTGAGCCCTAATACGTGCATGATCAGCATGTTTTGACAATGTTGAGGAATGTTTTATCTATAAATGAAGTAATTGGACAGCTTCATAGCTACTTCATCCATCATCATCTCTGTACTTATGAAACACAATGGGTTTGGGTCATTAATGTCCCCAGTGGTCATGAATCCATATTACATGGGGCTGTCATCTTATTTTAGATTTTGTATTAAATGATTCTTTATCTTTCTGTTGTTTGCTTTCTTATAAGAAATGGCCCCATGGCCCCATCTGGTTGGGAACTTCTGCTTTAGACCTATTAAAGCAAGTTCTGTTGCATTACTCCTTACACTAAACTGAGTTGTTGGACGTGAATAGATTAATCAGTATAGACCCCCACGTTATGTCGAGGCTGTTTAAACTTGCTGTTTAAGGTTCTTAACAATCACACATCTCGTTGAGGCCTACAGACCTACTGAAAGGATCAAAATTGGTTCTTTGGTGGCACTGAACCCTGTTTTTACCTGCCATGCAGTATCTTCTCCTAATGTGTGTGTGTTTCTGTTTTTGCTGCATCTTAATTTCTCTTGGCTGAAAAAAGGCTTCATGACTGCTTTCAGCAAAACACCATTAGAACACTGATTGTGTGTTTTCACTCGCTGTGTAGCATCTTCTCTCTTACCTTAACAGCTCATCTGTCACTCCTCAACACCTCCGCCACTTCTCAAGCGTTAGTTCCTGAATCGCCTACTCACATACGCAGCCGGCTCTCCTGGGAGGAAGCGGCATGTGTTTCAGTTCGATCCTCTCTCCTACAAGGCGCGGGGATTAGGGGAGTTCGGGGGACGTGCTTAAACACCATCTCTCTTCTTTATGCATTTCTCCTATACAGGCCCAGCAGGGTTTTTTTCCTGAGCTTGCACTGCCGGGCCAGTATAGAGTGTTTTTAGCTCTGGCTCATCTCATTTATCTTTAAGAAGGTCCTCTTGTGTCACTGCAGCTTCTGTCATCCTAATCCAAACATAGAATTCAGTAATTGAAGCATCTCTTGGGAATTACGCTGAAAAAGAAGCTTTCATGATGCAAAAAAATACCAGTGGATTTTTTTTTTTATTTGTTTTCTCGTAATCTTGTGATATAAATTTCATGCTGTTTTCCAGTGATATTGAGTTATTTATATAATTGTCACAGCAACAGTTTCATTGAGATAACGGTCACTGTGTTGTGATAATGGCATCAATGTCTTGAGAAAACAACATTCATTGTGTCGTCATAATGATATAAATAACTCAAGATTTCAAGAAGGCAAATGAAAAGGAAAAATTGATTAAAAAAAGGTGAATCTGTTCAGGGGTTCTATAAAAAAGCATGCATATTTATTAAAGGAATAGTCCTATAGTTTTAAGCTTAATATCTGTCAGGTGCATTACCAGCGACAGTCATTTTAACCATGATTTCATGTATTTAGTAAAATAATAGAAAAAATGTTGACTCAAAATATTGATTTAGACTAATAGAAGCCGGTGGGTAGACGCTAAAACGTCTTCCTGTTTGCTTCTATTATGAATGTGTTTTGAGTCGTCTGCTCTGTAGTGTCAGTGCTTGGTAGTCAGCTGTGTACTACAGAAGTGGCAGACAGAGATTAAGAGGCAGGTTTTTTAATGTTTTGCACCTCTGCAAACTGTATTTTGGGGTAAAAAGTGGCTGCTGTAAAGTGATTGCTTTTCAATGCCGATAGTAGGATCCAAGCGGTGCTCACTGTTTTTGTGCGTTTGTCTTATTATTTATGCATTTGTGGAAGTTCCTCTCTGAATGTGCAAAATACAGGAAGTAGAACTCTATAATGAAGTACTCTGATTGGCCAAGACTGATAGTAATAACTGACTGACAACAGGTGCTAACATGGCTGCCATTTTTTGGGCTTGTTAAAAACATTTATTTAATTTCAATGGGAAATAAAACATTAATAAATGCCTGCCATGTCACATTATTCTTAATTGGATAAAGAAAGTAAAAATCTTACATTTAAATGGTTTCCTAAAACTTTTGGGTATATTTTACAGCACTATCAAAGTGTTTCAAGAGCAGGATTTGCCGAAATGTTGATTCAACAGGTTTCTTTTCCACACAATTCAACACTAAACTCTATTGGCTGTGCTGTCTCTGCATTACTAAAGCTGCTGGTTTCTGTGTGTGTGCTGTGGCTTCTGTTACAGAAATGTCACAGCCTTTGATGCTCTGCATGTAGCTAAGAGGTTATACTCACCAAGTTCAAGATCATACAGTTCCCAAATGACCTGGGTGCCTTTAGTAAAATTAAACAAAGTTGAGCTTAAAATAACTCTTATCTTCAGCTTGAAATAATTATTATTTTCTCAAAATAATGACTTATTATGTTAAAATGTAATGTCACATAATAATAATGATAACTATTTAAATAGCACCTTTCGCATATTAAAATACTTTTCTTATATTAAAAGTACTTTACAATGAGGAAGGCAAAGAAGAGCCAGCATAAAAGAAGAAACAGAAAAGTGAGAGTAAAAACTGGAAAGAGAGAGTAAAAACAGGGGAAAAAAGGAAAATTAAATGTAAATCGAGTTCTTACAATAAACACTTAAAAACAATAAGCAAAAATAAGTACGTATAAAAGGTAAGTGTAATAAGGATATAGGAAAACAAGAAATTGTAGCACACAGAAAAAATGAAAATTCTTTAAAAAATTAAGTTAATAATAATAAATATTTGTCGCTGACAGGACAAAAACATAACTCCATTTTCGACGGTTTTGATTTTATGACATAATTTGAAGTTAGCTGATGCCTTTTTCATTGTATCAAACATTCATGATGAATGGACCAATAGAAATGCTCCAAAATGACTTGTAATAAATCATTTCTCAATTAAATTGAAAGTTTAGAAAGTGTTTTCCTTCTCTTGTAAATTATTTTTTTGGAGATATGAGGTTTTGTTCTGACAGTGGCGATATGTTTTAACCCCTTAAAATGCCAGGGCTCCCTGGCAGGCCCAGAGTTTTATTACACACCTGTTTGTATTGAAGTCCCTGTAGTTCCTGAATAATAAGCCTTAGTATGTAATTAGTCTGAGATTTGAAGGGGTTAAGCTGCATTTTTAAAAGTGCTAGCTGAAGTTGCATGTCACATGTCTTGTAGGGAGTTACACAGTTTGGGAGCGTCTGCTCTAAAAGCAGCCTCATTACTTCTTTTACATTTTTTTTTTTTGTAACAGAATGTACATCTGCGTTTGATGATCTTATACATCATTGTGAAACATGCAGTTAGACAGTCTGCCATATATGAAGGTGTAAGTCAATGAATGACTTAAAAAAAGACTTATAAAAGAACCTTAAAATTGTATTCTATATTAAACAGGTTTGTTCTTCCATGTTGGAGTCAGAACTCTTCTGCTGCATTCTGTACAAGCTGTAGTTTGTCTATACTGTTTTTGGAAACCAGTGAACAACACATTATAATAATCTAAATGAGAGAAAATGAATATATACTTTATTGGGAAGTCAAAATATGAACAAAATAAATCCTAATAAGTAATAATTTGAACCAAAATCAGAGAAATATGAAGAACTGTTGTTCTCTGTGTTGGAAATTAGCTTTCATACAAAAAACATTTGAGCCAGAAAGGGGTTTATATTGCACTGGTTAGATGTTAATCACGAAGCTGCTCCTGTGATCATTTGCAGTTCTTAGTAGATAAGCCACTAAATTGGCCTTTTCTACCAGCAGTGTCTGTAGACTGTCAGTAATTAATGCCTATGTTGGTAAATCTACCACTAAGCTGGAAAACATGATGGAGTATTCCTTTAAGATCACTTCAGTAAGTAATAATAGTTAGCTAGTTCATCAGAAAATGACATTAACCATCTCTCTCTCTCTTTCTTTCTCTCTCTCTCTCTGCAGATCTGAAGAGAGAGGCCAGTATCTGTCACATGCTGAAACATCCCCATATTGTGGAGTTGCTGGAGACCTACAGTTCAGATGGCATGCTCTACATGGTCTTTGAGTTGTAAGTGACCTTTTTCAAACCCTCCATATTTGGTGTTGAGCTGTTCAGGCTCACATTGCTCTCAGGATGCATTAATCTAATCTACAGTTTCATCAGTGATACCCCTTAGGCAAGACTGTGCTGATGTGAGTGCACGGCTCATTTGCTCCCCCACTTTCAGTGGTAAAATCTCTCGTGTTAATAGAGAATGGAATGGAATCTTTTTTTGGGTTATGTAAATCTGAGGGTGGTGGAAGAGGGAAATATTGGGGAGCTGACTTTGATGTGCTTGATGGACAGGCCAATTAGTCGTTGTGCAGCATGGCTATGAGCAGGCCTGGATTTGCCTTTACGCAAGTTGCTGTTCAGTTGAGCAAGTTATAATAATTGATGTGACATTTTTTTAATAGGGTTCCTCTCCCCTGCAGAAATCAACACAGGAGGCCAGATTTCAAGTCACATGAAAGCCTTAGTTGTGGATGTCAGAGCGTTAATCCATATTGATTCATGTTCATTTGAATTCATCGCTCAGCTACAGCATTTTTACACTCCTTTTCTCACTAAACTGCTCTTTATGCTGTTTTCATTTTGAACGCTTAACCACCTATCAGTGTCTGCGTACACCTAGGCGTCTTAAATGTATTGTAATGCACATACAGTATACAGTGGCCCATTTGAAATTCAGTGTTTTTTCTGAGCCGCATGCTGCTCTTTTACTACCCTGTCGCTGGTCCACAGCGGAATTAGACTTTTAGGTAAAAATAAAATTATCCTCCTTTGCAGTAAAATAAAGCTCTGCTGATCGTTCTAACAGTTTTAGCATAAAGTGGTCTTAAGTGCTGGAGTTAATATAGCCTACAGCTGATAATCGATAATTTGGGGACAAATGGACTTATTTGCACTTGTAAGCACTCAAGCTGTTTTTCTGATATGTTTAATCTGCAGCAGGAAACTGTCAAACACTAAAACGTCAGGAGGCTGAAGTCAGATTCTCACTGAAATTTCCTGTTCCACCTCAAATGGTGCAGCAGTTACACTCTGGCACATCAGGCACCTGAACCAGGTGTAACGGGGAAATTAGAAAAAGCCAAAATGGTAAAATGGGCATAAATTGTTGTGGCTCCCAGGGTGGTTTGATTTTTATTAAAAGGACAAAATGGCTCTTATTAACATTTGGGTCGCTTCAGGTCGCCAACCCATTTATTCTGAAGTTAGAGTTAAAAGTTAGTGTTGAAATTATAAGGAGTGTTTCGACCTGGACTGCTTTTTGAATGAGGTGTAAAACAGAACAGCCAATCTGAACAGAGTTAATTTACATATATCAGTCTTAAAGACAGTAACAGAAACAGTCTGTTTGGAGGAGAACAGTGAAGTCTGAAGCTAAAACAGAAAAAAAATTAAAGGATGAAAAAAGGACTCTGGTTTTCAGTTAAACACATTTTGGGAGCTTTAGACTTTCAGAGCTTTCTTTCTTCATCAGCCTTTCTCATGTATTCTTTCTCTCTATCTCGCTCAAGAAAAATGTACAATATAGGCTCTTTAATGACAGTGTGCACTCCAACTGCAAGTGAACTTTGTGCAAGAATCACAGATTTGCTTAAATTTGAATTGTGAACTAGAATCCTGAATATTTTTTTCTTCATTTTACTTGCCATAACCTTTTTATTTGTTTAGAATATTCAAAGTTCTAAAACTTCCTGTTGTTATTTCCAGGTTTAAATGAAAAAAAATCTCACATTTTCAATCTAAGAAGTCTGAGATCACTGTATTAACAGCATTATAATGCTTGTTTTATAAACTCACTTCATATGAACTGTAATCCTGCTCTTCGTCTACACTGATTCATTTCAAAATGTGTTTTGCAGAAATCCTTCTGCTTTTTTCCTCCTGCACTTGTTTATTTGCTCTGCAGATGTTTAGCAAAAGACCTCTTTTTCGAGATTCCCATGATTAAATTTAGCCCACTTAGCATGCTCTTACCACACTGTGGTTTGGATAGCAGATGCATGATACTTACATGAAGCATGCAGGGAGCAGCAGGTGATGCTGACTTTTAGTAATAAAGCCTCAGTATCTCACAGATGATCTCCCTGCAGACCCCATTCTGCTCCTCATTTATCATTCTCACACACACACACACACACACACACACACACACACACACACACACATACACACATACACAGGGATTCTCTATATAGAACGTGGCTGGGTGCTATTTGGGTGCTAGTGGGTATGCAGGTGTCCCAGAATCTGAAGTGATAAAATATCCTGCCTATAGTGTGAGATTCACATTTACTGCACAGCCAAACAATGAAAATGGAAACAAACATTATTTTCCAGTGAAAGCAAAAGTATAATGATCAGTAACTGTCCCAGAACAGAAATGTTGAAGGGCCCAAATCATGGAAAACTGAATTTTTCTCACTTTTCCTTAATCAAAGGCCCAATCCCATTTCTTATTTTTACCCCTACACCTTTTTTTTAGTGTCACCTTGCCCCTTGGAACTGAGTCACAAGGGGCAGGGGTTGAAATCTTCCCCAATGAAATGGAACAACCCTCAAATAAAAAAAGAACATTACTTCATTGACAGGCCGGTAGCGGCGATCTGTAGGCGACCCTGCCAGTCTGCAGTGATAACAGAGGAGGGTAAAGTTCAGCAACCTCACTGCTGGGCTTTAGTTACATTTAGGGCATCATATGCTTTCAAAGAAGTGGGATGAAACAGTTACTTATTATTGCCCACCTCGAAGCTGAAGTCAGCTATTCGCCTGCTTCTCATTCGGATTTTCCCGTTCCACCTAAAATGGTGCAGCGGTTACATTCTGGCGTTTCAGGTGTCAGTACTGCTCAAGTACTGCTGGACTATTTAAGGTGGAACGGGAAATTTAGCTAGCTACCAAGACATCAGAATACTATTGGTGATTTTTAAGCTTAATATGAAGCAAAGGACCATAATTCATTGAAACAACATTAAACTAAGACAATACAATGGTTATCTTAATTTTTTAAAAGAGAAAATTCTCACATTTGTGGGGGTTTTTTGGTCGCCTGCACAGCCATCTTGCCTCTTTTTCTTTTTTTCACTTAAGGCTCTGTTTGGAGAGTGCCTCTCAGAAAAACCTTCGTTTGGAGGGCCATGTAACCCTAACACTTTGCCCTACCCCTCTATTTCTGTCGACGTGAACACACAAAACGAAGGGGTAAGGGCTAAGTGGTAGGGGCAAAGAGTGAAATGGGATTGGGCCAAAAGTTTGATGTAGTACGTAAATATTGTTACATTTTCAAAACATACTGTTCACTGAGCAGTCCATACAGTCTATTTATATATACAAACCTCAGCTGCAAAAATGGCCCATTTTGAATTCACTGTTTTTGTGATGTCATGCAATTACATTTGCATACATTCAGCCCACAGCTGTTTAGCCCTGCCCATTCATGCAGAAGTTTTGAGAAATGTTTCAGCCCTGATTGCATTTTGTATAATATATAATGCAATGCAGACAATCACAGCAGAGCTCATTTACATATATTACTCCTAAAGGCACAGTAACAAAAACAGACTGTTTACTTCTAAAGGATAAAGGGAGGCTGGAAAATGGTCATGTAAGAATGAGCTATTACTGTTTTTCCTGCATAAATCTTCACAGATTATAAGTGGACATCAGACAAAAGAATAAAATGCACGATATGGAACATGGGCCCCTTAATTTTAAATCTGTGTTACTCATTAATTACATAATTTTTCATTCCATGTAGGTCACAACTTAATGAGAATTTGAGCTGATTATTTATACGTGCTGGACAATAATAAAGTACATTTACTTCGCTACTGTACTTAAATACTCTTTTGAAGTATCTGTACTTTTTAAAAGTATTTCCATTTTTTAAAACTTTGAGACTATACTTTCACTCTAATTCACTTCAAAGTAGAATATAATACTTTTTACTCCACTGTTTTCTACACTAATGTGTTGTTGGTCATTAAACTGTAGAGGGAGAACATTTTTCTAAAATATTAGAAAAATGCGATGCACTTTCCAATAAACAAACCAATTACTGTGCACCTTTTACTAAACCCCACCCCAAATACAGACTGTCCAGTCGTAGTTTAGCTACTGAACTTGCAATCTCATGTCAGCCCTTGCTATTGAACTTCCAGAGTTGACATTGCTCACTCTATAGCTTGTCAGACAAAGTGATATTAATCAAGGGGGCAACTGGGCTTTGCAACTGATTTGTTTGACCTGCATATAGAAGCTATAAAGCTAACTATACACTTACAACTTGCGTTATGGGGAAAGAGCTCTGTGGTGAATTTGATTGTTGGTCTTCACCAGCATGCATGAGTAACAGAAGCAGTAACATTACTGATAGTACTGGGAAGTTCTTATGAAATATTGAAAAATTAAAAATAGCAACATTTTAAACTAATACAGTAAATTCTTACTCAAGTACATTTTAAAACAAGTACTTTTGTACTGTAACTGAAGTAAATAAGTAATATCGTTAGTAAGGATAACTGTAGAACCCTTGGACTGTAGTGGAAGGGAGGACACGGGAGCAGTAGTAATGTACACAGAGTTGAACTTTGATGGAGGATCTTGAAGGATTTTGGCTTTGCTTTTCAGACGTGAGAAAGACAAAAAAAAAGAGAAAACTTTCAATGGCTTTGGATTGTAAGGCATTTATGTGCTTGCTCTGTGTCAGGACATCTCTTTCTCCCAGTCTCTTAACAATCAAAACACATAAATAAAAGGGAAACACTGGCCTGTTGTTTGTCAAACAGTGAGTTCATGTTCATCTATACTGTTAAAGGTCTTGCTGGTTACTTATTTTATCTCCTCCATCAGTCAGCGTCATCAGATATTCATATTCATCACATAACAGCTGACTGTCGCTCATCTTATTTATGTGTTATAACTGCTTATTAATGATTTTTAAGGTGACCTACTTAATAACCATTAAATAAACCATTCACAAACCCCACAGTAAGGGGACTTACTTTGTGAAGTGCACT